GAGATAATAATATTTATTAATAACAGGTTCACGGTAATATCTTTTACAATAGAAATAACCCAAAAAAAGAATATTGCACTATACAAATATAAGAAGGGTGATAAGGGTAGTTAGGTAAGGCTAGATTTTATGAGAGGGTAGGGAACTCTAACTTGAGTAGAAGGGGCAAAAGGCTTCCTTTTTATAACTTTTCTATGTATAAAAGGTATAATGGTATAACTGCCAAACTATGTAAAGGTACTAAGAGATACTTGTGCAAAGGTACTGAGAGGTACCTATATAGAGGTACTGAGAGGTACTTGTGTGAAGATACTGACAAGTACTCGTGTGAAAGTACTAACAGGTATTTGTGTAAAGGTACTAACAAGTACGTACTGACAGATACTTGTGTGAAGGTACTGACAGGTACTCGTGTGAGGTACTGTGCCTCAGTTCACTAGCCAATAACATCTCTAAACTACTATAATAAATATTGATATATATAAATTATAATAACTAATAATAACTAATACTAAATAAATATAACTAATAAGAGCCCAACTCTTTCTGATGATCACTAAAACCAAAATTTTCCAAACAATTTTGTAAAAACAGTAACTAGTAAGTAATGGAAAGCGTAAAACTGGAAGCTATAAGTCGGCAGTTGTTATTTAGAGGTAGTTCTCATATGCTACCTGCTAACTTCTTCAGAGTTTATCACTTACCGCTAGTACGGCACTTGTCGTTTAGAAGTAGTTCTCATATACTACTTGCCGACAAGTTCAGAGTTTATCACTTACCGTTTAAGTACAGTAGCTCCTCCTCTTTTCTAGAAAAATAGTTACTAGTCGTCGGTTCTTTCAAGGATAAAATACTTTCTTTGGGTGCTAGTGGTTCTTCCTTTAAGTCTCTCTTGGTTCTGTCGATCTTCTTCAAAATTTTCGACAAAAAGTGGGCGATTCAGCTTACCCCTTTCAAAAGATCGGCATTGTTTACCTCCCAAATTTAGACGTATCCAGGAATGCAACCACGTGCCTTGTTTATTGGTGGATACGATATGCAACGTAGTCTATGGATACAGGACCTCCACATGACTGGGATCGGATCTCTGGCATAAAAGACATCTGGAGGTGGCCGGTAGTCGGATAATAAAGGTCTTATATTATAGTTGAGATATACAAATATTGCAGTTGTTATAAATTTTTTTTTAAACCTGGCATGAGTTATAATAGTGTATTTCTTCTTGTTTTGTTTTTTTTTCTTTCGTTTCCTCTATGCTATTTCTTTATAGAGGTAGTTCCCCCTTTGTTAGCCCTCGGGCTTTTCTCTTTGTGTTTCTTTTTTTTACATTTTATTGTACCTTTGTTTTGTTTTCTTTAAAAATACCCCTTCATTTTACTTGTTTTTTTTAATTAGTTTTTCATTTTGTTTTCTTAATAGTATTGGTGGTTTTGTATGAGATCATCACTTTTTTTTGCTCTCAGTAAAGAAAGGAAATATAAAGAAAAAAGCTTTGATGGGCTGACAAAGTTTATCTAATTTGTATACAGGTTGGTGCGACAAGTCACAGTTGGGCATGTTTATTGCAGCCGGGTGATGTCAGGCTCACAATCGCGAAACTCCCTGTTTTTTGGTTATGAATAATATATGTATTGTTCGAGAGAGCTTAGCTCTCACCTGAAATATAGTTCCAATAAATTGAGCACTGGCAAGACTGTCAAAGATTTAAAAAATATATATATATATATATATAACTAATATAATAATAATACATTTATTTATACTATGCTATACTAACATTACATTGTGTTGCAACCTATTTTGTAACAATATAATTAGATTTAGCTGATTTTAAATTTATTAGAAACAACTCTATAAGAGGTTATTTTGGTAGTTAAATCATCTAAATTGGATTAAAAGATCAAAAGTTATTAAATTTTAAAGATTTTATTATTTTTTATTAATAAAATTTTTAATAATTTTAATTTTTCTCTAATTGTAGGTTCTCTCTAAATGCAGGTCAAAGTACTGGTCCTGACAACATACACTTAGAGGGAGTCGACTGTATTTAGCAACCTAGTTAAACAATATACAAAAAGTTGATAAAATTGATAATAGTAATAGTTATATCTACAAAAGAGTATATGAATTATTTAGTACTTAAGAAATTGGCCAAAAACAATAATTTTTTAAAAAAATTAAGTTAATTTATTGCTTTAATAATTTATCTAATAGTCTATTAAGCTAATTTATTATTTCAATTTTAAGTTTAAAAGTCTTATAGTATGTAAATTAAATTATAGTAGTCTCGCTATATATAAAATAATCTAAAACACAATAGCAAAAGATTACTTGATAGTCTTTCAGTATGCTGATAATAGAAGTCTTCATAAATACTTAAGAAAAATTTTATAGTCTTACATAGCAAACTAAATTACAAATACTTAAAAATACTACATATAAGTGATATAGTATTTATAATGATACAAAATAGTATTCATAATAATGCAGAATACATCTATACAGATTTTTATAGTAGTAATATTTTGCAAGATTAATACATATAAAAATACACAATACATATTGCAGATTTGGGATTGTCTAGAAAAGTAAATGAAAAAGTTTCAACTAGTGAAATTTATAGAACTATGCTTTATATTGCTTCTAAAGTTTTATCAGATGATAAAGTCAAAGCTAGACTAGCATTAAGCAATAATACTAGTCAACTATATAATTCTGTAACAAAATTAACTATATTTAATATATAGTCTGCTGTTTTATTGGTAGAATTTTGGAATATTAGAATAATTTTATTGATTTCGGCCTATTTTAACCCAGAATTTTGTTATGTGACTAATCTATTCTCGCAATTTGCATCATGATTTTCAGAATTCAATTAATCGTATGTTTGTATATAGTGTAAATCACTAGTCAATCATATTAAGAAAGGTGCTTAATGAACCTCTAAATTATATAATATCTGGTTAAAATATTTAATTCTGGTAGTGAATATTTATTAATTCTACTTTTTTATGAAATCATCACAAAATAAATCTTTCAAAAAAATATTATTTTATAGTCTTACAATATGCTAATAAAGATTTACAGAATTATTTAAAAAAAATTTTAAAAGTTTACAAGCAGCAGATATTTATAGATTTGGTATTATTATAGCAGAAATGTCTAATAGTTAAAACCCTTTTAATGGATGTGGATTTAATTTAAAACCTGCAGTAAAAATTTGCAAAAGATTGCAACCAAAGTTTGCACCTAATGCTATATTAAATTGGCTAAGAAATATATAAATTCTGATTTGCAAAAATGGCCTAGTGTATGGAATGTTTATTAAACAATAAAACATTGTCTTGAAAAGATAGCTAGTTCAGATGATAATAAAATTAAAAAGCAATTCTTGGATGTTAATAATGTTATTAAATCATCACCAATACTAAAGCATCCAAATGAAATATACACTAGCAAAATTATTAATACAAAATTAATTTTAAAGACGATTAAAGTAGAGGTTGTACCCATTGTAAAATTTAATACCAGATTATCCACCTATTTACAAATGACATATCAGATAATAAACCGGATTGCTCAAATTTATTCGGATAAATATTCAATCCCAAGTTATCTAGTTTTATTACTAGTACTCTGCGGAAAATTACAAAGAAATTAATCATGAGTCTTAATGATGACAGCTACAAAGTTTAATTCATATATAAAGCCAATTACTAATTTTAATAATATAAACTTTTGAACTCAATGCTTGTATTAAGTAAACTTTTGCCATCTAAGAAAATAAGTATAATTTCATTTTCGTCTTGACTTATTTAAACCTTTATTCAAATAAATTTTACTTTAATATTGATAATATAAATTTTATATATTTAGCTTTAATATCAATAATATAAAATTTTAATTTATATAATATTAATTAAATAATTATTTTTTTTTAAAAATAAAATTTGAAAAACAGTTTCGAAACCAAGACAAGCCCATTTTGAAGTTACTTGATTTCTGGTATCAGAGAATAAGCACTTAGTTGGTGCTGAGATAGCTGGTATTGCTAAATATTTTTTTGCCAATTAACTTAAACCTGGAAAGTTTTTTTCATACTCTTTTTACTATTCTAGAAGCAATTTATCTTGCAGGGCAACAGAGACTCTTTTAATATCCATGTATTTACCTAATTCATTCTCAGTCAAATCATTGTTATTATGATTATTTTGAAAAATCGAAGCAAAATATCAATTGGTTGATGAAGTGGTTGCTAGAAGAGTTGTAGTAGTTAAAGGTTCATCATTGACAATAGTATCAAGTTCTTTATGACATAATCTGTTTTATATAGTTAGGCCAGAGGTGCATTTTCTTAAGTCTTGAGTCCAGTAATATCACTAAAAAACCTGTATTGTTTAGATTTTCTCAATATTTCTAAAGAGAATTATAAATTTCTTGTTTAATCTATAAAATTACAGATTGAATAGAGGGAGTTCTTGGTAGCAGAGTACTGGTATCATCACTTTCACTTTTACTGTTATTATTGCTTTCACTATAATAACTTATATCAGGTTCTAAAAAAAATAAATTATTAGTAAATACATATATATATATATATATATTAGGTGAAACTATTGTTTAAATAATAATACATAGCACTAGAATTAATTTAGCTCTTTATTCTGACTAAACAATATATGAACTTGAATAATACTACATTTATCAATATCTGGTTCAATTTTAGAATTAAATTCTGATTTTAAAACTTTAACAACTGAATATATAACGGACAGAGTTGGATATCTTTCAGCACTAAATGCTTTGGTTGCCTGATCAAATGGCTTAAAAATTTTAGTTAACTCTTCAACCAGTTTCTATTCATATTTACTAGATAAACAACATTTAAGTTTTTGATCTTTTTTTTTATCTAGATTTCATGAAATATTCAGATTAGCTTCTAACTATACAATTGCATCCTTTAATTTTATTATTCTTTTCCATGATCGATATTTCAAATTTCAATAAATAAGACAATCTTTAACTATTCGAAGAGTATGAGAAGCCAAATTTATACTTGGTTGTTCTATTGAATTTCTATTATCAACTTTACCAGATTTTTTATCTTCACTATATATTTCAGTATTAACTGATTCAAAAATAGGTAAATAATCTCTTTCTACTACAGCTATTTGGGCTTTTTTTAGTTTTTCATTTTGTTTTAAAGAATCAAAAAATTTAACAAGTTTTTTTATTTTTTTTTATATATAAACAGACTTTTCATAAAGCAAAATTGACCATCAATTGTAAGTATATGCTGCATATAGAATTCATTTAACAGAATTCCAATTTGAATTGCCTTTACCATGTTGGCTCTATTGTTAGTAACAGCATATATAATTATAAATAGAATTACCTGTGTGGGGATATGGTATTTTTTCACAGCAAATTGTTACACTACACAGGTTCCAATTGGGAGTTATTCAGTGACAAGTGATTCCTATATAACTGTTCTTATTTTGTGATATCTATAAATCAGCTGTTATTGTAGCAGTTTTACAAGAAGATCCAATTTCATTTTGAAGAATACTAATATTTTTTTGATAACTTAATGCTAATTTATTTTTTATTAAACAATTAGATAGAGGATAAAACTTTGGGTCAATAACTTCCATTATTTGACAAAATCTTTTTTTTTATAGTGTATTTAATAGTTAACTATTAAGAACAATCTATTTCATAACGGGTTGGGATCCTGTAACCTAGTGGTCTAGGCACCCAACCCTCCACGAGCAGGTTTCAGGTTCAAGTCCTAGTAGGTACATTTACCTACGAATATTTGGAAGTATCTGCCATGAGAAGTCCAAGTGAATACAGGTCTGGATTAGAAATTTTCGGAAAGAGGTCCATTGTGGAGTAGTTGGCACTATGTGCAACAGTAGTTGTTACAGAAGGTTCTATTACACAAAGGTTGTGCGTGTAAATCTGCAATTGGCAAGATAGCACCAACAACCCCTAAGGTGGCATTGGGGATCTTGTTTGGGAGGATGACCAGGCAGTAACTAGAATTGGAAGTGGTGAGTAATGTGGTGAACACAAAGAGACCTGTGGTAAAGAATTGGCCTTACCAGATTTGGAACACCTCTGGCGCAACTACTTACCTGATGAGGAAAAGAACAAACTTTTATAGAGAGTTGGCTAAAACTTGAAGTACATATAACTATACCCGAACGTGGGCGAAATGGCTGGATGCACTAGGCTAGAAGTGTAGCAATACATGAACAAGAGGAAGAACACCAATAAGAAACACCAAACACTAACATGGAAGTGAAACAGACCACAAGTCCTAGTTAGTTCTACACCTCTAAATGCCTCATAATCTAAAATATTGGGGCAATGGAAACACCAAATATATCTGGGGGGAAACTCAGAATAATTTGAAAGATCTGGAGCACAAAAAACACCTTTGGAAGTAACTTTGTTACGATCATTCCCTTACTCTCATATCTACCAACTACGGGAGTGCCTATTATAAGAATTGGCAATGCATATATTACACATATGATGTTAATTGGGCCATAACTCTGTAGAACAGCTGTAGCACCACCTCATCTGCAAAACTATATCTTGTTGAGTGTAAGCTCCACATGATGATGCAGAATCTATAGTAGCTAAAATAGGCTTAAATTAGAGAAGCAGAGCGGTCTGACCAATTTGGGAGTAACTATTAGGTTACGAGGCCTTCTACGGGATATCAAAAGAGGGAGTCACATGTTGTAAATATAAGAGATGCGATGAATATAGAAGGGAGTTTTGTATACAAATCAGATATAGTAGTTAAAAATCCAGGTTGTACATAAGTGGGATATAGAATTCTCTGGTAGGTTTAGGTCGCAGATAGTAGTCAAGACCTGTCTGAGCCATAATGTACTTAATAATAGTATATAATAATTGTATCACATAATATATACAAAAATATATGCTTATAATAAAGTCACGAGATATGACCTCATCTTAACACCGAAAAAAAAAAAAAAAAAACAATCTATTCCATAACTGCTTTGCTATTTTCTAATTGCTTAATATTTTTATGTGAAGTCTTAATATTAATTATTTCAGGTAATTTGGTTTGCTGCAATTTTTGAATTTTAGCTTTTAATTTACTATCATTTACAATATTGTAAGCTAAATGTAAATAAGCAATCATGTTAGATATTGACCCATTATGAGTATAGTTTACTTCACACTTTTTTTCTTTTTCTTTTTTATTTACAACAACTTGACACACATCCTCTATATTAATTAATCTAAAATACTTCTATACAAAACTTTTTTTATGCTTAGTTTTATTTTTTTTTTTAGATACAGGTTTAAAAGTAATAGTAGAAGGATCATTTCTATCATCATAACTTTGTTTTTTAAAATATTCAAACTAGAATTCTCTTGAAAATCCTCTTGAGAATAATAAGAATAACCTTAATAATAATCATAAAAAGAATCCTGAGAATAATTATATGGAATCCTGAATATCCATCTTTTTGAATTAATAAAACAAAAAAAACTGGTTATTTATATAAAGCGACTCTAAACAACAATTTGACTTTAAAAACACACAAGAAATAGCTTTATTAAATAGATATTTCAAGATAAAATGGAATCTATTATTCAAGTTATTTGAAACCTAATAAAGAGATAATTTTTATTAATTTGATTTTTTTTTTTTATAATTTTATAATTTTTATCACACTTTATTTATCATATGAATCTTAAGAAAACTCATTGTAATTGCAGCTTGGGCTTGAAAAAAGGGAAGTATAAATCTAATTTTTCCTTATTAGCATACAAATTGTTGTTTTGATTTTTTTTTAGTGTGAATTCAAATGTTGTTTGGAATTTACTAAAGATTCTCATAGTTAATTGCACAGCCTTTAATATAGTCTCTTCTATTTTGTTAATATTAATTTTTCATGTTCAGAGATTGAACGTGACTATAGATTTTATTAATTGACTATTTTAGCTTAGTAATTCTGGGCAAGGCCAATATCAGGATCACAAAAAAGATCCCACATCTAGTAGGTTATAGTATTACTTGTATACTTTTTACTTACAAATATACTTATACTTTTTTATTTAGCATATATACTAAAGGCATATAATAAATCAATTTATAACTTTTTTTTTTTGGCAAAATTGAGCTTCTAACTAAATTAGTATTGTGATTGATTGTTAAAATGAAGTGGCATGCATACTAATACAAGGCTAGCAATTCTTGAATATGTGCCAGTTCAAATAATTTGCGCCAAATAGAAAAAAGCTTTAAAAGTATGATAATAATTTAAAATAAACACATGCTATATAGTTTACAAAAAAAGAATTCTTTAAATAAAAAATAACTTTCTTATAATCTACACTGAATCATATCTTAAAAAAGAATAATATTTAGCGTTCCTTAAGCTAAAGACGTTTCCTTTTATAATTAAATTTTATAAGCCTTGTTATCTTTACATACTTCTGAAATTACTGTAATATACTTTATTACATATTAAATATAGTTAACTTTTTTTATAATAGTACTTTTTTATAATAAACGATCTAAAAATTTTAAAAATTGTATTATTTCTGTTATGTTTGCAATTTACAAAAGAAAAAAGAAAAAATATTCAAAGTACAGAACATCATTGAAAAAGAAATTTTACAAATATTTCATATATACTAAAATAAAAGAGATTATTGTAGCTAGTTAATGTACTATATAGCAAGGCTTCAGGAAGTGTATTCTTTCGAAATGCATAAAGTGAAGCAGCTGTTTTAATAAAGAAGAAAGAATCTCAGTTTATTCATAAAGCAGTATAGTTATAAATGATCCTGTTAGTAACTTCAATTTTTATAATTTTTTATTGTGTTACTCTTATATTTATATAAATTAACCAGATACCAGATTAACCGAATAAGCATAATCTATTTCGAAATAGTATCAAGATAACAGGTTCCAGGTTGTCAGATAAACAGGTACAACCTCTAAATGAAACCATAGCAATAGTCATTTATTAAATAAAAAATATCTAGTTAATAATTGGCTGAAGTGTAGTGATGGACTCTAAGTGTATGCAAAGCAATATGGTGCAGGACATCTAGTCATATTGCAAAATAATTGCTTGCAATAAAAGTTTAATAACTTTTTAAAAAAATAAGCAATTAAAAAAAAACTTTCTATAATAATATTATTTAAGACTTAAAAAATATCAGTATAGAAAGTTTTTTTAAAAAAGTTCTTTTATTAAAAAGTTATTTTGGATTAAAATTTCTTTAATTTATTAATATTTTAAAAAACTCAGCACTTTATTTTATTAGTAAATATAAAAAATTCAGCGCTTATATTATAAAATACTTTTTAATAGATTAATTAATATATTTAAATTTTTTTTCAAATTTTAATTTCTCTTTTTTTTTTTTTATTCAATCTTTCTTAAAAATTTTAGCACTATTAAACACTATATAAATTTTAAAAAATTCAGCACTAAATTTTAAAATTTAATACTAAATTTTAAAATTCAGCACTAATTATTAAAATTTCAGCACTACTATATATTTATGAAATTCAGTGCTTTGATGTGACTAGATGTCCCAGCACCATATGATATTTGTATATTTCTAATGTAAAGCTTTACCTTATCAAATAAAGATTGATCTTTAGTAGAAGTGGCCACTATGAAAATATTATAAAGTTATAATATATAAACATAGTATTTAAACTAATTTAAGCAAAGTTGAGATTAGTTAGAGTTAGAGTAAGGGTTATAGTATTGTTTATAGTTAGCTCTAAGATTAGGGTTGAAGTTTTTTTATATTATAATCTTATAATATTTCTATATTGGCCACCTATACTAAAGGAGATCTCAAATAAATTTTCTGACTAAATTATCCAGACTTCTAAATGATGTAAGCGCCAATCTCAGTATTACGTGAAGCAGTATCATCAGCAAAAATAAATAGGCATAAACCTCCGCAAGTTTTTACGCGAGCGTAAATTTACGAAAATTTACGATTAGTTCGGAGTATTACGTAGGTGTAATAATTACGAAAGTTTACGCTATAGTAACTCCAGAATATTACGTAAGTGTAATAATTACGAACATTTACGGCATAGTAAATTTAAATATAGCGAAACGTAAATAGTCGAA